TCCTTTACTCCTCTCTCAAACCATCGTTCCTCTCTGTCCAGGATGTGAACATCTTCATCCCTGAAAGAGTGACCACTGGCCTGGAGATGAGTGTAGACCGCAGAGTCCTAGCCTGATGATGTTGATCTTCTGTGCTGGCCCATCCTTTTGGCCAGTGGCTGTTTTGTTTCCCCGATGTAAGACTGATCACAGCCCTCCTGACACTGAACAGCATACACAACATTACTCTGTTTGTGCCGGGGGACTGGATCTTTGGGATGAACCAGTCTTTGCTGTAATGTATTTTGGGGTTTAAAAGCCACTGGGACGTTGTGTTTAGAAAATAAACGTCTCACTTTCTCTGATACTCCCTCAACATATGGAATGACCACTAGTCTGGGTTCCTCCTTTTCACCTGATGGCTGACTGGAGTCCTGTTTGGGTTTCTTCTCTGCTTTCCAGCACCCAAATCGGACTCCAGCCAGTGTCTTGACAAGGGACACTTCAGCTTGTGACTGCTGGTGGATTCGAACCCCCAACTCTCGCATTGGAGGACGACTGCTGTAACCACTCAGCCACAGCCGCCCCTTAAATAAATATAAAGCCGACACCATTTCATTATTTTTTTAATCTTCACTGATAAAAGAAAAACTTTTTTTTTATATACATAAAATGTTTTTAAAAATAGTTTTCACCCTCTATCCCGGCCCGCTCCTGCCTGCTGGAGCCCGGATCCCAGCCTCGTGTGCTCCTGCGGGTCAGGATCCTCCGCGGTGACCGGCAGAGTTCGGAACCAGGGAGGTAACGCCCTGGCCGGCCTGAGGGGGCCCCTGGGCTCCGGTAGACCGGAGAAGCTCCATCTAGCTTGCTCTGAATTTTGTCATCAGCCACCAAGCACAAAAAAACACCTGCACTTCAGCATTAGACCAGGGTGTTGTCCTTATTGTTTTTAAAATCTTTAAAATAGGTCTAGTCGCTCGAGTTTGGCAGATTGGGTTGTTGTGAAAAATTTCTGACATCCACCCCTTGACAATCAGTGACCGACAATGTTCTGATGTCACATTTTAAGGCTAGCATGGTACGTTTGGAACCCCAGATAAATGGGTCCTGAAAAAGGGTCCGGTTCCACGAATAATTACTAGTGGAAAAGCCTTGGAACCATGCCAAGTCAAGTCGAACCGTGCCGTTACTAATGGAAAAAGGCCATAAAGCTACTACATTTGCACAGGAAACAAAAGAAAATTGAGAATCTTTCTTAATCAAACAACATAATTGATTACTACTGGTATTTCTGTGTTTGTGCAGGAATGGCCACTATTTGCAACATGGGTGCAGAGATTGGAGCCACAACATCAGTATTCCCTTACAATCATCGTATGAGGACCTACTTGGAGAAGACCGGACGTGAACGTATGTTTGCGTTTTGCACCTTTTTTTTTAGTATTTTCATATTGGTGAACAAATGGTAAATGGACTGTACTTGTATAGCGCCTTTCTATCTTATGAAGACACTCAAAGTGCTTTACACTACAATCTGTGCCTCATCTACCCATTCATACAGCACTCTACTAGATCTCTACAAAGCTAATTGAACAAATCATTCTAAATAGATTAATCAGTGCTTTAGATCACATTCATACACTGATGGGACACACATTGGAGGCAATGAGGGGTTCAGTGTCTTGCCCAGGGAGACTTCGGCATGTGACTGCTGGTGGATTCGAACCCCCAACTCTTGCATTGGAGGACGACTGCTCTAACCACTCAGCCAGAGCCGCCAAAAAAGAAGAGGAAATTCTCAGATCAGTTAAACCGAGGATCAGAACCACGACCTCTGTGTCTCATTACTGTTCTGTTTTCACTGCTTGTCCTCAGAAATCTCCAAACTGTCTGATGAATACAAAGACTTGTTGGTACCAGATGAAGGCTGCACATATGACCAAATAATTGAACTCAATCTGGATGAGGTTTGTCGTTTTCAAAAAAAGTCAAAATCACTTTTTCCTTAAAGCAAGTCAACCTTTAAACCTTTAAACAATTTCAGCTGAATTTGACATTAATAAAGGTCAGTTTTTCCCTTTTATATTCCATATTTTGCAGATAAGATGTTTGTGATTTTTTTTTTATTTAGCTGAAGCCCCACATTAATGGCCCGTTTACCCCTGACCTGGCTCACCCTGTGTCTGAAATTGGTGCTGCGGCTAAAAAGAACAGTTGGCCTCTGGAGGTCAAAGTTGGTGAGAACATTGTTTCATTCGCCCCTCTGCCAACACTTACCACCACCAGATTTGTAGAAAACAAGTTTCTGGTTTAATCTCTTCTGGTTCCTCTTGTAGGTCTGATTGGCAGCTGTACCAATTCCAGCTACGAGGACATGGGCCGCGCTGCCTCTCTGGCCAAACAAGCTCTGGACAAAGGCTTGAAGTGCAAATCTCAGTTCACCATCACACCTGGCTCGGAGCAGATTCGCGCCACCATCGAACGAGATGGATACGTTAGTGTTGAAACGTGCAAAAGAAATGCACTTCTTATTTTTATGTTACGTAAAAATGAAAACTAAACCGGTTTTCCCATAGTCAAAGATCCTCAGCGATGTTGGAGGTGTGGTTCTAGCTAATGCATGTGGACCCTGCATTGGACAGTGGGACAGGTAACTATGTCAGGAACTTTAAATTCATGATCGGCTTCTTGAACGTTTGTAAGTATGCTGCATGTTTGAGTTCAGGCAAGATGTGAAGAAGGGAGAGAAGAACACAATCGTCACATCCTTCAACAGGAACTTCACGGCCAGGAACGATGCCAACCCTGCAACACATGCCTTTGTTACTTCTCCTGAGGTAAACCCAAACAGAAACTGTTTCACACAGGTTTGTGCTTTCTTTCTAAAACTCTTCCTCCTCTTCAGATTGTAACCGCTCTCGCCATTGCTGGTACATTAGACTTCAACCCTGAGACAGATTACCTCACAGCCCCCAACGGAGAGAAGTTCAAGCTGGAGCCCCCCAGTGGAGATGAACTACCAGCCAGGGATTTCGACCCAGGCCAGGACACCTATCAGCACCCGCCTGCTGATGGCAGCAGACTCAGGGTGGACGTTAGTCCTCAGAGCAACCGGCTGCAGCTGCTGGAGCCTTTCGACAAGTGGAACGGAAATGATCTGGAAGGCATGGTGGTCCTCATCAAGGTGGGTTCCCTGGAGTTTGTGTTTTGAATTCTTACTGCTGCTGGGGTCCAAGGATAACCCTTCTCTGTCTCTACAGGTGAAGGGAAAATGCACCACAGATCACATCAGTGCTGCAGGACCCTGGCTGAAGTTCCGCGGTCACCTGGATAACATCTCCAACAACATGCTGATTGGTGCTGTCAACAGTGAGAACGATACTGTCAACAAGGTGAAGAACTACCTGACTGAAGACTACGGAGGAGTCCCAGATGTGGCCCGTCACTACAAGGTGAGGATTATCAAAGCTGGTTCACAATTAGTTAGTTTACTGCGTGAAAAACCAAACCATCGAATGCCAAAATGCATTGCAGTGATATTTGATGACCTTGTGTGTACCGTTATCTGCAGGCTAACGGCGTGTCGTGGGTCGTGGTTGGAGATGACAACTACGGCGAGGGCTCCAGCAGGGAGCACGCAGCTCTGGAGCCCAGGCATCTGGGTGGAAGAGCTATAATTGTCAAGAGCTTCGCCAGAATCCATGGTACGACATAAGTGCAAATATCAATATTTAGAAGTTCTGCCCAGAAACACAAGCTCTGCATTCTCAAAACTGAAGCATTCAGTTGTTCATATTTGTATTTTAAATAACTAAACTGTGTTTTCAGAAACAAACCTAAAGAAGCAAGGATTGCTGCCTCTAACATTCAGCAACCCATTAGACTATGACAAGATCCTCCCTGATGACAAGATCTCTATCAGAGGGCTGAAATCCTTCACTCCAGGAAAGGTGAGAGTGCAGCTCAACATGGCCTACATGTAGTTAATTTGAAGAGAAAACATCTGCTGTGAAAGTCTTTTCTCCTCCTCCTCTTTTTCCTCAGCCTCTAACTGCTGTCGTGAAGCACAATGATGGCAGCACGGAGACTCTGGAGCTCAACCACAGCTTCAACGAGACGCAGATCCAGTGGTTCCAGGCAGGATCTGCACTGAATAGGATGAAGGAGTTCCAGCACTGAGGGTGGAGAGAAAATATGGAGGAAGAGGAGGATTTCAGCCTGTAAATGGGGGGTTAAGTGTTTGTGAGGAAGCAGAATGTAAACGGTTGTTGTATTGGCGTGATTTTCTGACTGAAATGTTGAAGCTAAATGTTGAACAAAGACGGATTGCTCTGTCAGGCTAATGTTGATGAAACTAAAGCAGCTGAAGTGTGTTTTTGTTAACACATCATCAACTGGTTGTAGACCCAGCTGTGAAAACATAGGAGACACTCAGTTGTGACACATACTGGAAGATTACGAAGGAGTCATGACACACACATTTAATGTCCTGCTGGTGTTTTTTGGTTCTTTTGAAGCTGGCCAAACAGTTTGGTACCATGGTACCACTGCTCACTCATTCAGCTGAATGCAGTCATCCTGTTGCTGTAAAATTGTATTGACTGCTGCAAGGTGACGGTCAACTCCAGTCTGACACTCCCACTCTAATTTGGCTTGTGTGTTATTTAAAGGTAAATACTGACATTTGTTGTATTTCTGTAAAACTCAAAGCTGTATTAACAAGGATTGGATCTAAAATAAACTTTAATTCACTCTGGCTTGTTTTCTGGCTTCTGGTCACCCTGAAAAGAAACAGCGAGTTGTTAAATGTAGAAGGTGAAGAAAGAGTGAGCGAGCTATGTATTGTCATTGTATGTTCGCATTCAATGACAATTATTTATCTGCATTTAACCCACTCAGGTCAGGGGCGTATTGGCCATCGGGAGCATAGATAAACACTAGATCCCTCATCGGCTGCTGCGGCGCAGGAATTTTGGCCGCTATCTTGGAACGGTCGTCCTTATTAGTGTAGCACTGAGGGAGTGGTTATCTTAAAAATGAATATGAACGTTATAATGGAAAATGTTAATTCTTAAGTCAATTTGCAATGAGTGAAAAACCAACAACGCCACCTGGGATTATACTCCAGGAAATAAAAGGACACGTAAGTTTGTTCTACTGGAGGAAGGAGA